GGCAAAAAGGCTCCCCGGGGGAGGAAAAACCCCGGGGGGGGGAGGGAAATTTAAAAAAAAGTTTTTGCTTGCTTGCCCCCTGGTGGTTTTTGGGGGGGGGACCCCATCTTGCGGGGGGGGGGAAAATTTTTTATTGGGACGGGGGGGGGGGGGGGGGGGGGCAGATAGAGCACTGCCGGTATGTATCGGTTTTGGTTTTGGTTGGCCCCGTCACTAGAGTTTGGAACAGAGCGGTGTGAGAGGGTTGGGAATGCCCACGCCGCCCGGAAACGGTATGCCGAAGTGTACGGGTTACTAATTGAGTTCGGAACGACTTCTGACACTGCCACAACTCGCTGTCGGGGCGGTTAGGTTTAGTCTAGCCCCGTGGACGCATGGTTGTTTTCGCGCTTGGTCTTTCCCTCGCGAATGAGTGTCTGTGTCGTATTGTGTTTCTTTACCTCTAGAGAGCAGTTTTTGTGTTGGTCTTCTGCTGTCCGCCTAGTGCAGTGTATCAGTAGCTGGGATTGCTTTTGTTGTTGTTTTGTTCTTGTGTCGTCGTTTGTTATCTGCAAGAAAGGAGTGTCGTTGTTGTTTTTTTCAGTTGATGTTTCGCTTGCGTCCAGCAGGACAGTAAGGGGCATGAAGATGTTGACACACACAATACACACATGCGCGCTTCGTCTCTCTCTGTCTCAATGAAGCAAGAGGGGATAGACCTCGTCCGTCCACCACGAGGACTTTCCCCCGGAATTTGTCCCCCTGTGCCATAGCTAGACCCGTTTGTTTTTCGAGCGAGTCTTGTTGGCCCGTCAGCCGCCCGCCTGGGCACACGCGGGATTTCCGAGCGGTGCAGTGCTCGTGAAGAACAAGGAAGCTGGAACACAATGATCATTGTTGGCGAGGTTGTTGGACGAGCAAGGGTCTCATCACCCGTGGGTAGCTCTTGTCCCTGAGAAGCGGGGTTCGAGGCTTGTCTCTTCGGCTGACTCCATAGCCGAGGCACAACATAGTGCTGAAGACAGACCTCCTCCTCCGTTCTGTTGCTATTGCTGCCTGGCCGAGTTCACCCATCCAAGTACTAGGCATGAGAGCGAAGCGATATAACTTTGAGCAGCAGCAGATCCTCAACCGAGCAGGCAACGGTGGGCATCACGTGCATACATCCCGTGTTGTGCTGCAATGCCGTCTGTATTCAGGGAGTTTCGGCTCTTTCGCGAAAGACTTGAACCCTCTCGTGTTGTTGAGCAAGTTCTGGAAGTCGACCTTCGACCCCTAGGGAAATGCTACACACACGTGCGTGCGTGCCTTGTGCTGTCGAAAGCTGCACTGGTCCTAAATCCCTGCTGCTGCACACTCGGGAGTCCAGCGCCTGGCCCCACGTGGTTCGAAAGCGGTTGAGAAGCCGAGTTTACCCTTCATTTGGCATGCCTCTCGACTCTCGACGCACTTTCCGACATTCTTCAAAGTTGCCACGCAACCCTTTCATCGTCATGCACCTGACGGCACCGTTCTGTAATAGAGAGCACGCCGCTCAAGCAGAGCACAACAGAGCACTCTCGCGTGATAGCGTTCGGCACAACTGCTTTCGTCCTCGGGGGTGCCAGCAAGAACAATCAACAGAGAATGCACAGAGCAGAGGGCAGTGGAGAAGGAAACAGAAGACAAGGAAACAGAAAATGTACACCTTCCTCTTTATTGTGATCACTATTTTTCGTGGTGACTGCCGCTCAGCAGTCCCGCGCACACATCATGCAGGGCGATCGTCGATGAACGAGACATGGACATGGCACTATTTACTCCTCCAGTTCTTCCAGAGAATCATAGTCCTGAGAAAGGAAAGACGACCACGGACGCAGGGGGCGAGCGGGCAGCAAGTAGCAGAGGGAAATGAGCGATTTGTTTTTTTAGTCGCCGAAGACTCAGCCTTGGGTCTGCGTGAACCTTGTTGGCGGTAGGATTGCCGCTGGGGAAAAATATTTTCAACCAAAAAGACAACCACAGCAAAGTCAGCTGCGAGTGCACTAGTCCGGACACTCATTTCGGAGAATTCCTGCAAAGACAACAAGAGGATTCAGAAGGGATGCTACAGGTGAGGTGGGCGACCCCCCTTCTCCTCTCGCGCTTCAAGGGCCTACCTCAAACTCTGGCAGGCCTCCTACATTCCCGGCAGTGGACAGGCCGCCCATCGACCCGGTCATGCTCGAGAGGTCAAGGCGGCCCCCGTTCTTCCCTCTATTGCCCAGACTCCGCCCCCCTCCCAACACCATCCCGCCGGAGCTTGCCCCCACAGAAGGCGCTGTCAAGCCCCATTGCCCCTGTTGCTGCGGCTGCTGCGTGGAATCTATCGGTGGCGACTTGGCTGTCGCCGCAGCAGTACCACTACCGCCGCCGCTCTCACCCTTGGGTTGTCGCCCGTCTGGCAGACCCTCGGCGCGTTTCGTGAACCCACTGCTGCCACGATGGTTTTTCGTGAGGCCGGTAGCTGCCATCACGGGTATTGCCGGGGTCGGTTTCGAAGAGGAGTGATTCTTCCGGGCCGCCGTTGCCCCGCGGTCCACGGCGCCGTTCGAGCCGGCGGCCGACTCCAGGAAGGCCAAAACTTTGCGTCGGAGGCGCTCGCTCGCACCACCGCCCCCTGCCGCGCGATTCCCTCGCGCCGTCGAGGAGGAGAACGCCGCTTCGAAGCAGGGCGCAAAAACGCCGGCGATAGCCGTGGTCGAGTGGTCGACCCCTCCGAGATCCTTCCCTGAGGCTAACCGGCGTGCGTGGCTCGTCACGGCGTCGAAGAGCTGGAGCCTTCCCGGGTGGGCCTTGCCGCCCCGGCGGTGCTCCGCGCGGACCTTGGCCGCGGTGACGATGCCGGACAGGGCTTCCGCCGGCAGTATCTCGGCCGAGTGGACGGTGATCAGGTCCAGCACGGCTGCGCAAAGGTCCGCCATCTCGAACGCGGCGAGTTCGGACGGGGGGAAGGTCGAGGCCGCCGTGTCGTCGACAGGGGTCGCCACCGCCGCCGCCGCCACCGCCGCCGCCACCGCCGCCGCCTTGGCCCCGTCCGAGCGCACCGTGGCGACCGAGCCGTAGGCGTCGAGAACCTGACGAGACGGCGATAGCGAGGACGACGGGCCTGGCTCATCCCCGTATGGCGCTGCTGCCAATACCGTCGACAGATTTTCGATCTGCGCGGTCAAGGCGGCGACGGCTCTCGCCGCTTCCGGCAAAGAGAGACACGGGCGGCGGCTTGGCGTGGCTAGTGTTGTTGGGAGATACCCTTCCTTCGATGGTGTCCTCCTGACTTTGGGCTCGCCATGGCGGCCATCACGAGGACTATCTTTTCTTCCCAGAACTGATGTGACAGCATGGCCAAACCCAGCGGCCTCTGAAGAGAGAATCGCCGATGCTGTTGTGGATCCCCTCTTCTTACTCTCCCCCTCGGTGCCCGCATCGTTGTCCTCGTTTGTGTCTTCTTCTTCTTTTTCTTCTTCGCTCCACGATGGCACTCTTGCTGCGGCAATAACAACCCCCGTCGCACCGTTCCCTGCAGCCGTCGCCTCCCGTGACAACCTCTCCCGCGCGCCCTTTCGACTGGATCCGGCTATACCACCACCGTCCCGCAGCTTCGACGCCGGTCCCTCAGACGAGACGGTCATCACGCGTCCGGAACCATCCGACGAAGAAAACGATCGGGCCCTGTCTCCCCGTTGACCGGGGGTTGGCGATAGCTTCTCGGGAGGGCGAGGCAGGTCCAACTCGGCAGTCTCCTTCGTCGAGTAGCTTGGTTTTCCCCCCGCCGACGCTACGCCATGGACGCTGTCCACATCTTCGTCTACCCCGCTGTCACAGCCACCGTCACTTCTCTTCGGCGGCGGAGGTGGCAGGTTCTGCGGTGGTTCTACGGACAACTCCTCGTTCTCGTCCGACCGTCGGCGGCGATGTCTGCGCCGTGAATCTCGCGTTTTGCTCCTGCGTTCCCGCGCCCTTTCTGCATCCGGTTTGGCTGTCGCCGTCACCGGCATCCCGGATCCGTGGCGGCCGTTCTTCCGGACGGTGAGTGGGGAAGAAGAAGAACGGCGTTGTAAACTTTCCCCTCCAACTGCTCCATTGGCACCCAGCCCTGCTGCAGCTGTGTCGTCACCGCATCTACTCTCTGGATTTCCCGTAGCCCTGTACCCAACGCGGCCGGCTTTATGCGATGCCTCTCCCTGCCTTGCGCAAAACACGTCCTGCAGCACGTATGTTTCCAAGCTCTCGACGTCGCCACGCCCCCTGCCTCTTCTTGTTGACCCCTCTGCAACACGCGACCTTTCGTGCGAGTTGGCTCCACCGCCCTCGTTCTCGCTCCGCTGTTCTTTCCTCACGCCGGCGGGAACCTCCCCGTCTCTCCAGGCTTGCCCCACGCCCTCAGAAGCCGGCACGGCCCTCTCAGCACCACCCCGAGCCTTGCCAATACTACCCGACCCCCCTTCCGAACCCCCGCAGCTTTCTCTTTCGTCTCCATCATCCAGGTCATCGTCCGTGCCTATGTAGCACCGCTTACCTCGCCGGCCTGCACCCTCACCACGGTCACCGCTATCGTCGCTGCCGCCATCGCTACTCTCGTCACTGCTGCGGGGGTCGTTCTCCCCGCGGCGGCGACGGCGACGGGTCGCTTCCTCCTCTGCCAACGCGCCGTACCGAGCGCTGTTGCTGCCGCCTGCTAGCGCGTCGTACCGAGCGTTGCGGCCGGCCTCGTTGACCCGCTCGAGCTCCGCGTTCAGGGCCTGTCCATCTGCGGCCGTCGAGCGACCCCGCCGGACCTGCCTGACCGCGGACTCGTTGCGCTCGTGTGCCTGTGTGTGTTATTGTTTCGTGTGGGCGACGTTTCGTTAGGGCTCAAGATGTTGTTGGTCGGGGAGCACGACAGAGCTACTGGGAGTAGGTGTGCCATTAAGAAGACAACCCAAGGGGCAATTTGGAAAGCTGCGCAGAGGTGCGTCTCGCGGACTGGGTCCCTGGGGCAAAACTCTTGCTGACATGGGTACGGGACGAAGAACAAAGGCGAAATCGGAGAAGAGGTACACTGCTGTGTTCGCGTGGAGCACAGATGCTGGTCGACGAGACTCGACGTGCGGCGTCGCGCCGTGCGGGCATCAGGGACGCCGGCGTATGTACGACGCCGGTCGCCTTTTCTTTCGTCCACCTGCGGCGGAGGCTCACCTTGCGCTGTCGCAACAAGGCCAGACGCAACGTTCCCGATTCCCGCCGCTGGAGTCTATTCCCAACACCAAACTTTACCCCCGGTCGCGCCCTCGCACACGGCCTAGAATTCGAGAGACTACATACGTACGACGTGCATGGTGATCACAAGAACATCACAGCCCCCGTCTCTTCATTTGATCGCTGGACGACGAAGAAAACTCGCGATCCGTACATCTTGTACATGGGAGAGGGAATATACCCACGGAAATAGACTCTCCCCTAACCGCCGTCCCAAGGCTAGCTTACCCTTGCAGCGGCGAGCCGCCGCTGGCCTTCGGCGATGACCGCTGCCAGGGCCTGTTCCTGCTCGAACCTGTCGCGCGCCGCCCTACGCCGCTGCTCGGTAACGAATCGCTCCTCCTCGATCGTTGCCAGCTGTCTTGTCTTCCTGTGCAGCTGCTCTTCCTGTTGGGAGCGCGTACACGTTGTGGCGGGTGAAGACATGGGGGCTATGTCTACTCCTCCAAACCGTGTGGTGATTTTTGTTCAAGGAGTAGTCTCATTGTGTAGCACCTGGCTGCTGGATGTAGAGAACGATCGCACCGGAGCTACACTGCGCTGGCGGATTATGGTGGATCAGCGGTTGGGGCAGAGCGCGCGGCACAGCACTATTGGGCCTGTTCCGGGTTCGTTGTGTAGGCCGCGGAAGTGTTGCAATTGATCTCTCTCTCTCTCTCGTCTGAGATTTTCACCCAGCCAAGATACCCGTCGAAGGAATCATAGCCACACTACGTGATGACCTGCCTTGCAAGACGGTCTGATGAGGGAGAACGCATGCACGTTTTGGGTCGCGCGGCGGCAGAACACCAGGCTAGAAGGTATTATCATATGGTGAAGCCACACCCACCTGCCAGGCCGGGTACAGCTTGTCGGCTACGGACAAGAAGCGCTCCGTCTGGTGCGAGAGTCTCTTATGGCTCAAGCCACTGAGAGCCCTCTCGTGCGAGAAGGCGTCGTTGCTCTTTTTTGGACGTTTGTGACGAACGCCGGTGGATTCAGAGACGGCAGCAAAAACCAAGAGGGAACGGGGTTAGGGGTTGGAAACCATCGGCCATATATCTTTGACTACTTCGAAATTGGCAGCTGAACGGCGGTTCGGTCCTTTCCATTTCCTTCCTCACGTAAGCTGAGCGCAAGAAATTACGTGACATAGAAAGGTTAAGGTTACTTTGCAAGCGTGGTTCTGTCTCTCTGTAAACACCAAGATGTTGCGTTTCACGCTTTGTCAAGGCATGGAAAGTTTTCCGCCGTGTCGCCACGTTTTTGTAGTTGCAACACGCTGCACTCCTGTCCATACATCGCCTCTCGATAAGCATTTTCTCAGCTCTAGCACCGCCATGACGGGACCACGGAAACATTGTCGATACCTCTCGGGAACATTGAGGCCTGCCGTTGACAGTGTTGTACGCCGGCACTCTGTACCCACCTGCTTCGCCTTGTCCAGGATGCTCTGGTTCCTCCTGCGAGCGGCGCCACACTGCGCCACAAAAGCTTCCCGCACCCGGCCGAGGCGTTGGGTGTGGATCATGCCGAACTCCTGTTGATTGGTCAATGCCGTGTGGAAACCCAAAGCAGACCGCATCACCGTAGATGGGACCATGAACATCACGCCGCGCTCTAGAGAGACGAGCGTGTTCCTACGCAGTATGCGTACATAGTACGCATATGAGACTGTAAACGATTGAACGATCACTGCCATGACGAAAACGCACGTACACTGCCTTTGTGGATCATGCCGGACTCCTAGGTCAAATGAGTTCAACTTGATTGTTGCACCTCAGGTCGAGAGAGTCAGAGAGACGATGATGATGCTTCAATATGTGCAGTGCCAACGGTGCGCGCTACCATCCACTGTGTGTAGTTTGCATACATCCGGCGCTCCTCTGTATTCTAAGGTGCTACTTTGGTCAAACAGATGGGTCCGGGCAATATGGATACGTGCAATATTCACTGCGTGTCCGTAGTTTTCACACGCACTCTCTGCGCTGACGACCGTAACATCATATACCCCACGAGCAACTTGCCACCGACTACTGCTGCTGTACCCGCATTGCAAGATATTTGTCTTGCTGCCGCATGACCAGGACGAAGATTTTCGCTAGTAGTGGACGCTCACACACAATCCAGCCTACGCACGGTTTGCAGAAAAAGGTTGGCAAGCATTGGCGCTATAGAAGTATATACAGACATAGGTGCTTGATAGATAGGTGCGATGATGAGATCCGCTGCCTCGGAGGCTGTGGCACTCCTTCGACCGACGACCGCCCGTAGAAAACGCCGACAGACACGACAACGACGGTGACATGGTACCACTCACTGTACGTCCGAACCTGCCTTGGTGGATCACTCGGTCACTCGGTGCATGCACACATTCAGACACGAGACCTGTTCTTTACCTGGGCGGTGGCAAGGCGAAGCTTGAACCGTTCCTCGAGCATGGCTCTCCTCGCCTCAAGCTCTCTCCTTTGACTCTCGAGCTCGTCAACGCACATCATCATGATTGATCGCGTGTGGGTCGAGATGGAATGTGCGTCTTGGCAGGTCGTGACGACGGTGGCGTCACGAGACCCTTGGTGCTCCTCCTGCAGATATCCAATCCAAGTGAGAGACGTGCGCAACAGCAGCCCCTTGAGGTGTGTTACCAGCGAGCAAGATCCAACGATGCCGGCTTGGATCCATCCAGTCAGTAGTGAAACGTATCCCCTCCCCCCTCGGTTGTTTCATGAACAAGACTGCTGTCGTCTCAAAAAAAAAACGACGTTCCATTTAGCTGTTGCGGCGTTGCGGAATCGCACTATTTCCGCCGCGAAATGGTAAATCCGCAACACGGCACGGGGTCTCTGTTGCGGCTTTCCGCACTCTGGTGGGGGGGGGGGGGCACCGGGAAGCCGGGAACTACCATATGGGGTATGCCTCCCCGGCCCCGGGAAGCAGGACAAAGCAGCAAAGCAGGAACTGCTTGCTCCTGGGTGTGGGGGAGAGAGGAAGGCAGAGAGAGGGACACACACAAGCACATAGAGCGAGCGAGGGCATGACGGAGACGTCGTCGTTTTTTCCGCCTGCAGGACGCAGAGATGGCGTGGCGGCGGCACCTTCGCCTTCGCCTGGCGAGGCAGCTGACCCTCCGCCCTCCCTGTCGAAAGATCAACGGCCGCTTGCCATCAGGGCTAGCCGACGACAGATCATGGCGGCCACCACTTGTGGTGAGAGCAGGGGGGTCCTCCTCTCTCTCGTTAGGCTGTATAGGGAGTGCTGCCTATTTTGGTGTTGCATGGGAGTGCGGCTAACACTCCAAATTGCAAATAGGGTAGGAAGCTTCCTTGCAATTTGAACACAGGTGCGACGGCTGATGTTGTTGTACAGGAGTATAGGATAGACTCCAGTAGTCTGCTGGAAGGCAATCACACGCGCCGTACGAGCGCAAGCAGGCAGCAGCAGCGATAGACACACACCATACATACCACGAACTATGACGGGTCAACCCGAGTCTACCCATCCCTACAAATATACTTTTGCGTACACGGCATCACATCGACATACTTTGGCGCAGCACACGTCTAAGGAATTGTGCTTGCTGTGTGGTTGACTTAGCCGCTAGCATGACAACACTACCGTATATGACACAAGATAACACACCCCCTGGACCGATTTTCAAAGCTCGATTACTCCACGACGAAGAGGATGCATAAATGAATCAATACGTTTTCGAACAGCTCTCGACGAGACGGTTCCAACGCCGCCGTTTTCGGCGCTGTGACTCTTCCTGCTGTTGAGAAATCGAGCTTTGAAAATCGGCCAAGGGGGTGTGTTATCTTGTGTCATATACGGTATGTACATAGCACCGGAGGCTGTCCCTTGGAGCAGCCAACTCCAACCTTCCGCCCTTAATATTATCCCGAACCATGTTTGAGGAGCACCCATCCTATGTTTCTCTTGATGGCTCTACACACACGCTGCCTCTATCATGCCTGGCATTACTGTAGATACCTACACACCTCTCGACAATAGGACACATTGAGCCGTTTTCCCGCTCAAGCTGGCTACAGCAGTAGTGAGCTGGAGAGCAGCATTGGCGAGACATACGCACGGCACCCACGGCACGAACGCACCTCGTTACCACAACTCTGCCCGTGCTCACGCCCATCCAACGGCCTTTTCTGATTGTGCAATGTCCACCTACATAGGCACAATGCAACAACATATGGGCACGATTTTTCGTTTTTCTCCGTTCAGGAATCTGTCTGGAGACTGTGGACGATCAGGGCTTCCTGCTGAGGCGGGCTGCGTGCGACGTGCTCGCGCCCGCGTGCGCCCACGCCTACTGCTTCGCGTGCATCAGCATCTGGTCGGAGAGGACGAACACGTGCCCCCTGTGTAAGGAGCGCTTCAACGCGATCCGTCACGGCGGCGGCAGCAAGTCCGGCATCAGGCTTGCCGCCGGCGAGATAGTTGAGGTGCACGACAGCCGAGAGCGATAATGTACAGGGTGGATGGATGGAGAACACTCAATATATATCGAGCTGCTGTAGCATGCGGTTTTGCTTCACGCACCCGTGCTGCAGCCAGCTCGCGGAAGTTGTATGTTGTTTTTGGGTACTCACAAGCCCGACTATATCACCGAGAGAAATTTCGACACCGCACACAACGCACCGCGAGATAGGGTTGACCAATCCTTGAATTTATTAACAACACCACTCTGTAGGTAATTCCTCATTCTGTTGTGTTTGTTGGGGTTTTCGTGGCTCGTGTTTTCACATCCGCTGAAGCAGCGCCCAGGTGGACAAGCGACTGATTTCTCGCGAACCGTCGTCGTTGTTGTTTCCGCGACTATGTAGCCCTGCCCCAGATTTGCAGCCCTGTCTCGTTCACATGACATGGAGCTCGGTGCCGTCCTCCCTTCCCGACGTCGCCGTTTGGTGGTCTTCCTTTTCCTTCCCCGCTCACGGACTCCCCCCGCGCAGGTGCAGGAACGAGATCAGGCCGCGAATTGCTCGTCGGACGAAGACCTGGCCGCCGCCCTTGCTGCCCAAGAAAGCGGCACTAGCAGTGGCGAACAGGACGATGGCGAAGCCGGGCGGGTTGGCCCTCACGGCTACATCTCGGACGGGTTTCTGGTCGCCGACGGTGCAGGCGAGGTGAGCCCAATTCACGGTTATCCGGTTTTCCGTACCCGTGAGAGCATTGAGGATTCAGGCGAGGTGATCCCATTTCACGGCTATCCATCCGGGTATCCGTACCCATGGAGCGTTTGGTTGGACAAGCAACAGGATCCGAGACAACCTGGTGTGGTCGTTCTGCTCCTTTTCGCCTTGAGACGTGATGCGAACTTCGTTGCACGCGAAACGTGTTATTCTACGCAAGCTGCGGCCAAACGAAAAAAGCGACGGCCTGTACGTGGCGTGTCTACTCTTTCGTTCTCCACTCATTCGCCAATCTCCTCTTGTCTTTGCCTCTTTGACTCCTCACTGCCGCCGCCGCCGCCGCCGCTACATTGCGCGATTACTTGAAAAGAGCGAGGAGGAGGAGGAGGAGGAGGAGGAGGAGGAGGAGGGGGAGGACGAGGGATTGTGGGAAGAGTTGTACGATCTCAGGCGACCGGAGAGAAGAAGAAGTGCGCCAAGCAGGCGACAACCCGCTACTACTACTCGACGAGGCAGCGGTGGCGGTAGCGATGACGTCACTGGCGCTCCCCGACGTAGATCTGGCAATCCAGACGGCCGGGCGAGGGTGGGCGGCGAGCTAAGGCACTCTCCCATGTCATCATTTTTTGGTGGAAGGGGAGGTCCGGCCGCTTGGGCGGGCAGGGGTGCGGCGGAGAGACCGCGGCGGAGAAGAAGGGCCGGCGTTGGCGATGTGGACGGTGGAATGTTGCCCAACGAGTTGCGGCAGCTCCAGCAAGAGGCAGGTACGGAGAGGCCCTTTGGCTTGTCCTTTTGCGAAGGAGTTGCTTGGCGAACTGGGGATCGGGAAAAAAGCGAGAAAGGAGTCACCGGTCGGTGTTCGACGACTTGAGTCTAGTCGAAATAATTGTGATCAAAGCTACCGGCGATGCTCGTTGGAGAAACGTGCGCATGCCACCCCCCTTGTGGTTGTCCAAATGATTCCGGCTGCGTTCGAGGAGAACGAGCTTCTTTCTCCGAGCGAGGCAAGCAGCCAGGCCTTTCGCGCCCGTGCTTGATAGGGGGCACAGCGGTGGCTTGTCAGAGAGCGGAAGTTGTGCCGATGTCGTTCCAGCAGATAGATGGGCGTTTCTTGAGAATGTTGAGGTAGCACACCAGAATCGACGCCCTGCTTTCGAGGGGGCCCAAAATCAAGCACCGATGGTGATAATCACACGACCGCCACGAGTAGGGTTACGAAGTTTTGTTTTCCCCGCCAGGACAATTCTTTTTTTTTTTAAGCCGTCGTTTTCAGAGAGTACCATGTAAGGCGCTGGGGCGCTTGCTGAAACTTATGAGTGTGCGCACTTTTCATTGGGGCACCTGCCAGTGTTCGCTTTCGCCCGATCCCTCCTGGGCGTTTGTAACCGCCGACTTTACGTACGACTGATCTGGACCCTTGCGCTACTCATGACCGCATGTTGCCTTGCGTTTTTGTCTACAACAACGTCGCCTTTTTCCCGCCTCTCTCCGGTCACACCCTGTGCGCCAATTTTTGGTCGTGCAGCTCGTCTTGTGGGTGATTCTCCCCTCAGGCCGCGCCGCCGCCCCCCGCCCCCCTCGAGGCTCTTTCGCTACCCTCAACGCCACCGCTCCGCGCCGGCGAGATCGAGCTCAGCAGCAGCAGCAGCCGGCGCTCCCGCCCATGGTCGAAGCTCGACAGGATACGTATCGTCCCTGACCGGCCGGCGTGTAGGCGGCGAGAACGACCAGGAGGATGAAGGGCCGGGGCAATCGGGTCAACGTCGACGGCAGCATAGCGGACCTTCAGGGCTTCGGTGCACAGCGACCAACGATGCAATAAGCGGGGGTGCTTCGAGTTCTCGGCATAGGAGGGCGCAGCGACGGCTGCAACGACGGCAGCAGCAGCAGAGCGAGGGTAGTGACGGATGGTGCGCCACATCGAGCGAAGAGAGCCCGGAGGAGTCGTTAGGGGAAGAGGAAAAGGATGGAGAGGAGGAGACAAGTTCGTCGGAAGAGGAGGAGGAAGAGGACGGCAGCAGCGGTAGCGAGGCCGAAAGCAGGCCATGGGTACCTTCCGCAAGGGCTCCGAGAAGGAGGAGCGAGAGAAGAGCTGGGAGGGAGGAACCCACAACGACGAGGAGGGGGAGAGCAAGCTCAGCGGCCTCCGCGACAACGGCGACGACGGCTCCGCCGGCAAGGCCACCTCGAGTGGAACGCCCGCGGCCGCCACCGGCGGCCGCGTCGTCCTCGCACGGGAGCGCCGCGTCCTCCCCCACAAGCGGCAACGCCAATAGGAGGTTCGGCTTGAGTGCTGCCTTAGGGGTTAGCAGCCTCGGAGCAGCTTCGTCGGTATCGGCGAACAGAACGGCGGCGGGACGCACTTCCTTGGCGGCGGCGGCGGCGGCGGCGGCGGCGGCGACAGCAGCGGCGTCGTCCCCGCCGTGGTTGACCCGCCGTAGATTCAGCAGCGCCTCCGGCGCTGGCGAGGAGCGGCGGGGGTTGTTGCGTCCTCCTCCTCCTCCTCCGTTGCAACGACGACGATATTCTCCGTTTGAGGAGGAGGTATCGGCATCGTCGTCATCCCGTGGTCCGCAGCCGGGCGGCGGCGGCCGCGGCGGCGGCGGTGGTCTTGCGAGTGCGGCGTCTCGTTTGACCGGCACGAGCCGGCGGCGGGGAGGGCTTCGGAGCCCCGACGCTGACAGCGCCGCCGCTCCCGCTCCCGCTCCCGCTGGTGGTGCTACGGGTGCTACTGCGGGTCCGGTCGTGGAGGCACGGCGGGAGGGGGAGGAGGAAGAGGAGGAAATCGCGAGAGGAGAGGAGGGTGGGGGCTCGCGAAAGAGAACTAAGGTGGGGACGGCGCGTGGTGATGACGACGACGACGACGATATGGCGGATGATATTTGGATGGAGTCGCCAGAATCGTTGTCGGCCTGTCCTAGGCGCGGGCAACGCTGCGTGACTCGGAGGGGCGGGGGGGTTGGTGGTAGCGGAGAGGTTGGCGGGAGCGGCGGCAGGCGGGTTGTCCGCCCGCTGCGTCTCTCCCCCCCATCGTTGGCCCCTAACACTCGAGAGTTGGAGGAGGAGGAGGAGGATGAGGAGGAGGATGAGGAGGAGGAGGCTGAATTTGATTGGAGTGCTGAGACCGCGCCGTTGTCGGGGTCGGATGGAAAGCCGGAGGAAAACGAACGTAGCGAGGGGGGCGGGCACGGAGGAAAGGGGGAGGAGGATCACGGTGCCGACGACGACGAAGAAGAAGAAGAAGAAGAGGTGGAGTTCGACTGGCGTGTCGAGAGCAGCCAATCATCGCGGGGGTTACGGTCGGCGGCGGCGGCGGCGGCAACGGCAACCAACGAGAAGCGCGGGCGGCGAGAGGGGAGCGGCATCGAACAGGACAGAGCAGCAGACCAAGAAGGAGAGGAGCTCGACCTCGACGGGCTGGGGACTCGCCCGGGAGGCCGGCACTACGACGATCCGGAGCCGTTGACGCAGCGGAGTCGGCGGCGGGAGCAGCAGCAGCAGCAGCAGCAGCAGCGGAGGCTGGGGGGCAACAAGGAGAACGAGACACCGTCCAAGATGGCGAAGGAAGAAGCAGCAGGCGATGGGCGAGGACGTAGCCGCCGAAGCTTGTCGCGCTCTGTGCCGCCGCCGTCGCCGTCGTCACCCGCAGCAGCGGCGGGCTTCTTGGACCAATTTCGGTACACGGGTGGTGCTTGACGTAGGTCTAGGCTAAGTAAAACGGTGGGGGGTCCGCTCTATTTATCTCCGCCCGCTCCGCAGTGTTTTAGCGTGTGTGCCAAATAGCAGCTCACGACTCGTCGCTGCGCACGTGCTTATTAGATTATCCACGGCCCTTGGGTTTAGCGGAGTTGCGGGCCCCAGGCTCCAAGTATTTGTGGCGTTGTGTTTTCCTCGGAGTCAATATTTCAGACAAGAGTCAATCGTTACGAGGGCCGCGTTCATGGTAATGCTGAGCGTATTGAAGAGAGGTAGGGTAATACATTATGTGGGGACTGGGGGGGGGGGAGTGACAACTTTTTTCTTCCGTAGAAAACAAAGGCATCACCGTGCCCGGGTTGTAAGGGTGTCAGTGCGGTCGGTATTTCCAAAAGTCATACGGCGGAGTGCGCTTGCTCCGTTGTGCTCCGCTACCATGTTGAAGACAAGGTCTTGTTGGTGACATGTAAATGGTAGGAGTTCCTGGGTGGTGCTGGTTCGTTTGGTGTTGGAGGAGGGAATGCGGATTGTCTTTTGACCCGGGCTTCGTTCGAGTGGAGGCCAAGAAGAGCTGACGATCGCTTGTTGGGACACGAGGGTTTTGAAAAACCGAGCGTTCGCTATTGAAATGAGAGAAAAATAGAAACTAAAACCGCAGCGTATGGACGAACTAGCAGCCGGGATGGTTGGTTAAGGGGGGGGGTGTTGGCATCTTGGCTGAGAAGGTTCAATGACCCACCAGGCCTAGAAAATACGTTGCTTTCTTTGTCGCCGGGGGATTTGATCGCGAAGGCAAATGTGCACTGTGCATCGTAGCGGGAGATCGTGAGGATGCCTGCAAGTGCAGCGATGGTTGCACTCATCGCAGTCCGAGGCTGAAGAGGTTATCCCCAGGCTACCCGGGTTTGCCCCCGCAGTATTCTGTTCACCGGGTGCCACGTCGACGGACAAAGCCTGCAACTACACGGCGAGATGGGTTTTGCTCCCGTCTGAAGACAAAGCACTGTTGTAGCCAGCGACGACCATAGGCTTCATTTATCATCGCCACCGGAAGCAAGCGTCGGTTGTACCGAGGAAGAAGCGAGTGGCGCAACGAACACGCTCATACTCCAGCATGGGGGGGAGTGGTTACTGGGGTTGGCGGTGATCGATTGGTAGGAAAACATCCGCCTTGCTCTTGTATCTTGTTGTGAAGGCGTTTTGGAAAGAAGCATTCATTGCCGTCGTCCCTCTTGTGCATACACGAGGAGCACCCATGAGCAAAAAAGGAAGATACAAACACTGCCGTGTACCACCCCCCCAGCACCAACAACGTGATTCAATCGCCACGGTTGGAAACAACCTGAAGTCTTCCTGGCTTCAATCACCACGCACGCCCATGTGACGGAAGCGCTTGATGACGACATCGCATGATTGGAGATCTACCGCCCGTCGCCACGCTCCTCGACATACTCTGCACCCCCCCCCACCCCTCCACCCTTCAGCCGCCCTATCCTGGTGATCGAAACAAATAAGTACATCCGAGCGGCCGCTTCTCCAGCCCATTTCACCGTGTGCTTTTCTTGGAACTACATGAGCAGACATCGGAAAGAAAGGTTCTCGCCAAATTACAATACCACCATCGATCAGCCCCAAACGTCGAGCCAAGCCAGGAAGACGCTTACGGAACCAAAACCGAAAACAAACCTTAGCGAACGTCTGTTTCTCTTCGATTACCCCCCCCCCCCCCCCCCCCCCCCCGTGGTAC